ATATGCTTAATTTATAAGTATAACAATATAATTATAATTTTTTAATAAAGTTTATCTTACATGAATTCTATTCATATTTAAAATTCGAAGCGTATAGACTCCAATGGAAATCCACGAATATAAAAAACGGGCTAATTAAGAACCAAGCGTGGTAAATGATGTGCGAAAGTTTTATTTTTATTTCTATTTTACATATCTTCCAACCTTGACTGTGCGCCGACTGTCGGCAGATAAAGGTTGGAAGATATGTAAAATAGAGATAAAAATAAAGCTTTCGTGCATCATTTACCGCGTTGGTTCTTAGTTAGCAATAAAAGATTTAATCACAAAGAATTACAGAGATAACAGTACAAAATAAAAATATTTTATTAAAATACATAAATTTTTCTTGTAAAAAAACTTGGCGTTGCTAGACCTCGAAATTTTAAATAAATAAGGACAACAATAAATAAAAATAATTCAGAGAAGAATGCGATAGGAGTAATATTAAATGATTATACTGTTACGCCCGTGCTGGACACTGAGTAGAGAAGTCGCGGAAAGCTGTGAAGCGCGCTCCTTGACAACGGGAGTTTGTTGATGGATTTATTGATTTTATGTCTGGCGGATTTTTGGAATCCGCACGCGTTCTGTTTTACGAGCTTGAAATAAACGCATTTCTTAAGTTCTTTTGAGTTCTCTTTTCTTTTGCGAGTTCCGCGAAATACGTGCGCGAGTGTGGAGTGCGCGACAGTGTTACGGCGCGACGGCGAGCTTACTCGACGAGCGTAACAATACATATAAACCAGTCCCGTCAAAATAAACGCTTCTACACACAGGAAAATGTCATTCTACAGCCAAGAAAAGCAATTACTTATTTTATTTTATTTATTTTATGTTAATGTAGGACTAGCTGGAGTAGCGGCCTCGATCGCATCAGCTGACAATGAGTTAGAGCGAGAAAGAGGGAATAATTTTCTCTCTCTCGCTCGCTAGCTCGGCGCGCCGGACTTGGCCGCGGCGACAGCTGTCATTTGACGACAATAAATAAAATACTGCAGTTTATATATATAAAATGACACCTCAGCGCCCTAGGGCAAACGTGTAGGACCAATATTGTGTAAATAGAACTAAGATTTAACGCCTAGAAAAAAAGATATTGTAAAAAGAAGGTTTACATGCAGAGGCACATGCAAAGTGTTATCGGACTCGGTACTATGCGGTAGCGTGTGGAAGAATAAAAGTAATATTTTTGTATGAATATTACTTTTATTTCACAATCGTTGCAAATACATTAAAATATAAGCGTGTCTAAATATGTGCCAAATATTTATTTTACGTAGAAAACAATACATTATCTATGTATATAAAATAGTTAAAAAATTAGTAAAGAACAAGAATAAAAAAAGAAATTGAACAGCGTAGGTTGCGATTCCGCGTTCCTAATATTACTTATTCTCACTTTTACTGAATATGCCATATATGTAGTATAACATACTATCGATCGCTCCATATTCCAAGCATGTATTATTTTCTATGTAAAATAAATATTTAGCACATATTTAGACACGCGAATATTAATATATTTGCAACGATTGTGAAATAAAAGTAATATTTATACAAAAATATTACTTTTATTCTTTCACAGGCTACCGCCTGCCAGCGATTCTGTATTTACGAACACTGCGGCCGCGGCCAAGGCCAACGTGCCGAGCGAGCGAGCTCTGATTCAGCTGATAATCGACACGGATAGATTTATTTTCGATGTGGATTCACGTAAATGCAAGAGAATAAAAATCGGTGATTAGTCCATTATTATACATATCTTCTTCTTGTAACTAACTTTACTCGTAAAGAACTCAAAAGTGATATGTATATTTTTTCTGAATGTAAAAATTTCTTATGTATTCTTTATTTTCTTATAATGAAACGAAGTAGTATTATATAAGAACTGATATAAATAATAAAGAATAAGAAAAAGTGAAAAGATAATCTATTACATAGTTTTATATGCTTTTCCTAATAAGAAATATGTATAACCCTTACAGAAAAGTATTATTGACTAAATACTTAAAATCTCAGTGATTTAATACTGTCAATATTTATTTGGGAAATACTGGGAAAATACTGGTAGTGATAAATATTATAGGTAGTGATTAGAAGACTGATTTCATTTCAAAATACCCAGGTAGCAGACAGTCGTCATAATGACGTAATTCTTACGTCATTTTATGACGTATGTTACGTCATTTATTCCTAAAGTTTAACGTAAAAATGACGTATTTTTCACGGTTCTAAGTCACATTCCAACGACGTCATTTTCTGACGTTTTATTGACGGCAAAAATAGGTCCAATGTACGACATACCGGTTTCCAGAAATGTTTTTTTATGAAATTAAAATTTTAAAATGTCTACTTGATAAACGTTTATTAAAAAATGTTCTTTTTCTTTATTTAAGAAAAAAAAGCTTTTTTTAACTGTTTCGTTACATGCCATGTGCGTATAGCCGCTCTCAAGGCGGTCACCCATCCTAGCACAGTACCGCGTCCGAGTCGCTTGACTTCGATGATCCAGTGGACAGTGACGATCTTCTCACCCTGATGCTTCCTTATTAACTGTACTTGTCTATAACAGGTACATCTTTAAAGTGTTCAAAAATCTTGTAATGATATCTTCTTGATAGTTATAACACTGCATGAAATAGTTGTCATAAAACTATAATTACACACGCAACTAGATCCACTTATACCATAAATTTACCACGTCAATCATAAAGTTACGAAACATTTTATAAATGTAGGAATATTCCTGTGAAAAATACTGTGAAAAATATGTCATTTTTACGTTAAACTTTAGGAATAAATGACGTAACATGCGTCATAAAATGACGTAAGAATCACGTCATTATGACGACTGTCGCCTACCTGGGTAGTCAATTAAACGTCTATATAATGTCATTTTACAAAGTCTTTTTGACGTATTAAAACATGACGTTAAATATACGTCACTTAATCGACGAATGACGTTACTGACCAATTATGACCAAATATTGACGTCAAAATGACGAGTGCTTGCTACCTGGTATCGAGTCGTTGAATAATTGTATTGAAAGAATAGCAAATATTTTGTTTACTTTGTAAGTAATAATGTAATAAGATGTAAATATTTAATGAATGTAATTACGTTTTTTTTAAATAATTTGGGAAAAAATTCAAAATTTATAGAATTTGTATTAGAATTTAACGGAGGTTTGTAGATCGATGCTCACCTGGAATGCAGCTCCAGATCTAAATGTGACAAATAAAGTTCTTTGCAAAGTTTATAACCGGCCAAGTGCGATGACCTCATTCTTTTAATGCTCTCGATAGCTTCCGCAGGTAATGGCTGCTTCGTTTTGTAATGTTCGGAAATTTTTTGCAACATGAATGTTTCGTACAACCTACATCGAATATATTAACTCATTAATTAATTACAATATTAACGGTAATATAAGACCCAAGGAGCGCCAATGCGCGTATAACGTGCTTTTAATGCGCGTACAATTGCATTGGCTTCAAAACCACATTAATTGTGTGTTCAAAATGCGCACATTCAAATGCGTAATTAATGTAAATTGAGCATTCAATTTATAAATGACAGGTTTTATAAAATATTTAAATGAGTAGCTTCTGACTCATTATGGGACATTTTATTTAAGTTTTAAATTTTAAATAAATTGAATTTTAAATAAAGGACATTTATCATGTCAAAAATAAAGATATTCTCTAAATAAGAATGTTTTTTTCTTCTGTGATAGCTGTACTGGAATGTGCTCACAGCAATGCTTAAAAGCTGGGCACGAAGAACAATTCCTATATAGTACAGAGTTCACTAGCTGTTCGATTGGGCTCCTTGATCAATGAGCGTAGGTACACTTTTTGGTATGCGCTTCCATAATATGCATTAAATGCGCATATAATGCGGGACAAATATCCGCATTTAATGGAAAGTTTAATGTACATTCAAAGCGCATTATACGCGCATTGGCGCTCCTTTTGGGGAGTATTAAAATAAAAATAAAATAATTAAATGAAGAAAATAAATAAAGGAATAACTTTATTTCATACCAGTTCTCCATGAAGAAATCGCAAATGAATACCGCGTCCCATTCCACAAACGACAATCCGGCAGAATACTCCCGTAGACCGTAGACCGTAGTTAGCAAATGTTGCAAAGCGTGTCCAAACTGTAATGTGCAAACAATCATAAAAAATTAATTATTTTATGAACATATACATACCAATCCATTACAATTTTACAAACAATAGCCTATTACCTTCTGAAAGAGAACCTGCACGTCGCTGATGGAGAGCAGGGAAGGTTTGTCGCCTATCTGTTAGAATATATGTACATCTATATTGTACGATAGTCAAATTTAATAATATTATACGCGAGAATCTGTTGTAAGAAACGTTAATATTAGTCACGTTGGCACCGTAGCTGGCAAACCTGATGATGATGATGAATCGCTATTTATTAGGCGCTCCGGGATTTCTCCCCTCAAGCGCATATACAAAAGAAATAGAATACAAAATGACAAAAGTAACAACAATAACAAAAAAATAAGTATATCTATAACGAGAGAAAAAAAAATAGAGAAAAAGAGGAAAAAAATAACAAAATAGAAGAATCGCTATTACTGAACTTGTGGCTGTGTTAAGTAAATATTTAAATAAGTCGCACTTGAAAATCCCCTTCGTGGAGGCATTACGCAGGTCTAGTGGTAAGCTATTCCATAATTCGGCCGCGAAACTAATAAACAATTTTTTAAACAGTTCCGTCCTACATTGAGGTAAGGACAACGACTTCGGGTGAGATCTTGTATCGCGCACTGCCTTGTCGCCCTTGTAAGTAAAAGCTTGGTACAATGATGTGGGTTTCTTAGAATGAAGGATGGAGTATGTTAAGTTACCGACAAAATATAGTCGTCTCTGGTGTACCTTTAGCCACTTGAGCTCCTCAAAATAAGGCGTGATATGTTCGTCCCGTTTAGCCTGACAAACAAATCTAACACAGGTATTCAAGGCTCGTTGCAAGCGCGTATTGTGTTCTCTTGTAATGTCAGTGAAAGTTACGCAACAGTAATCAAAAAGAGGCATGATCAAGGTGCAAACTAACCTTGCACGTAACAGAGGCGGCATAAGATGCTTGCACAACTTAAGCTGGTGTACTGAGACGTTCACTCTGGAAACAGTTTTTGATACCTGTTTTTTCCAAGAGAGTGTATTTGAGATGGTAACCCCCAGGTATAATACCGACTCTACATACGGTATTATGGTGTCGTCCACAACGAGCTATGAGGCAGATCATCTAATGGGAGACCATTAAGATAGCGAACTGTGCCCATGATCATTGCCGTGGTCTTACTTGGATTTAGAGATAGCCGATTTTCCGTCGCCCAGGCTACTATATTGGAAATGTCCTGATTCACTTTTTGCACAGCCTCAGCCAGGTACTTCAATTCCGTATGCAAGTAAATGCACAGGTCGTCAGCGTAGAAATTGTATTTACAGTATCTCAAAACTTTGCTAAAACCACACAGATATAGAATAAACAATAAGGGTCCAAGTACAGAGCCTTGGGGGACTCCAGTAGTCGTTGTCCTCTCTGTCGACATCGCACGCGAGACGGGGTCGCGAACCACCTGCCTTCGATCGTAGAGATAGGAGCACATCCAGCGCAGTGCCGAACATGAAAAACCAAGGTTCCTTAGTTTTTCAATCAATAAATAATGATTTACGTTGTCGAAAGCTTTGGAAAAATCGAAGAAGATTGCAATGGTGACTTTTCTAGCGTCAGCGGCCTGTTTCACGTCGTCAAGAATTCTGATCAGCGCGGTTTGCGTAGAGTGGTCCTTTCTGTAGGCTGCTTGATGAGGATCCAGCAAATCATGGTCGTCCAGATAGGCCTTAATTTGTTCGGCCACAATGTGTTCGAGAGCCTTGGAGACGGTACACAAAATGGAGATTGGCCTGTAATCCTTTAATTGCGATGGACTTTTGACCTTTGGTAAGGGCTGTATTATGGCACTTTTCCATAAGATAGGATAGGCTCCATAAGTTAGACTGAAGTTGAATATATGTGTGACCGTTGAAAGAATACATGGCAAAGCTCTTGAAAGAAGTTTCATTGACAGTCCATCCGCACCGACTGCATCCGACTTGATTCGTGTGATCGCCTTGAGCACTTCTCAGGGCTCAATGTTACCTAGATAGAACTTGGAGTCATCGTATGTTTCCTCACCCAAGTAGAAAGCTGTGGTATTTTGCGCATCCCTATTAGTCCCCGCCGTACCATAAGTGAAAAAGTCCACCAGTTCTTCTGTGGAAAAGAGCAATTTCATTTCTGAGGATTTGTTTTTGATTAATCCTAGATGTTTGAGCCTATTCCAAATAATATTAGGTTCCCTTAAATCTTGAAAAGCATCCTGGTAATAATTACATTTGGCCTTGCGTACTAGCGATTGAACCTGATTACGTAAGTGCTTGTAGTTGTCGTAGTTTGTGTCATTTCTGCATCGTTTCCACTTCCTCCTAGCTATATTTCTCTTCTTTATTTTGTTCTTGATATCGTTGGTCAGCCAAGGAGCAGGCAAGTGCCTAGGATAGACATTGCGTAGTGGTGCATGCTTATCGAAGCATTCTAGAAGGTAGTCATTTAGAATGCTAACCTTGCTGTCTATGTCTTCCGCGGTGAATACAGAACTCCAGTCGTATTCCGCCAGTTCGTTCCAGAAAGTTTCAGGATAAAATGAGCGAAAATCTCTAGCTGTAATGTGACGCCGTTGAAAACGCTCGACTTTCACTTTGTACGTAATGTCAACCAGATCATGGGCAGACAAATAACACGCCTCCTGCTGCCCATACGTAACTAATTTGTCAAGATTGTCGATAACGCATACAACATAAATTCTTACGCGCGGTAGCCTACCGTACGGGTAATCCTATGGCTTTTACCTGCCATGACTACTATCCCATTTCAATAAGACTGAATTTAATGACTTTAGAGAACAGGAGATTAATCTTTGACCTAGCGTTGATTTTTAAAATATTAAATAGTTTTATCGATTGTCCTGACCTTTTAAAAGATATTTATTTAAATGTTCCAATCAGAGACTTAAGACAATCTTCCATCTTTTATGTTCAATATCACCGTACTTTATATGGCGTAAACTCATGTTTAAATAGGATGACTATCTCTGCAAACAACTATTCTAGCTTAGTTGATTTCTTCGGCGGCAATGTGTCTGCGTTCAAGCGGAAACTTATCTGTTTACTCTCCTAACATAACTTTTCTTTTCTAATTGTAATTGTATTTTTACTCTACTTTAGATAAATTTTTATAATCTACTTTCTGTCATGTATACACTAAAGGGTTTACCCCGTAAATAAAGATTATTATTATTATTATTATTAAATCTAACCACGTAGAAGATGTACGCGTGTGATGTGTGGGCCCATATGGTACAAGATGGAAACGCATCGCATCCACCAATAAACGGATCTGCTCCGCGTCGAAAGTCCGCGTGTTGAGGTCCGCGTTGAAATCTCCAAAAACGACAGTGTGCCTGTACAGTGCCGATAATTCGGAAAAATCATTGAAGAATTCCTCAATGTAGCCGCAGTGCGGTGGCCAGTACACTACGGCCAGTAGAATCTTAGAGTTTCCGTCCATAGAATTTTCAGCCATCAAATATTCTGGTTTGCGACAGTAATTTTCCTCGGATTGTCTTAATATCCTGGCGTGGGCATTTCCTCTGAGGTAAAAGGCCACACCTCCACCAGTTTTGCCCATTCTATCCCGTCTAAACACATTGTATCCCTGCAGAAAAACCATGCGATTTGGAATGGATGGTTTAAGCCAAGTTTCAGACATACAGATTATGTGATATTCCGAGTCAACGAAATGTGCTCTGAACTCATCAAGATGTGCAAACAACGACTGGCAATTCACGTGACAAATGCGAATATATTCACCGGAATCCATCACCCGTAATTAATACGCAAAATTCTGTCCTCTATTCTCCGATGCAGAATTGGGCACATCCTTCCATCCAAGGCAGAGTGCGACTGGTCTCCTTGCTTTCCCCACCGTGCACAGTTCCCACATCTTGGAGCCT